GGTATTGGTGCACAGACATCTAGCTAGCAAGGCAGCAAGGGTTTTCTTGCTTCTCTGCAGGTAATCAGACCTCTCTTTTTGTCTCCATGGCAGTAGGTAGATTCGTCATCTATATCTACCTTAGTTATTCTTCTTACCCTCCATTGCGACGTAGTAGAGTACGCCCGTTAGGTAGGATGAGCTGAAATAACACAGTCATTTTTGAAAACAGCCCTTCAAAAAGACAAGCAACAAGTTCAATATGTAGGACCTATTTCTTCTGAGGCACATAATTTCCACATAACCTAAGAATAGCCAAGGTAGACATACCAACTGCATGAATATCGAATTTCCAATAGACTCATATATTGGTGGATATTCACGATGGTAGTAGCAAAAGCAAGACTGAAAGAAAAACGAAAAGAAAAAAGAAAAAAGAAAAAAGAAAAAAAAAAAAGGATACTAACTCTAAACATAGGAGATATAACGGCTATACCACAAAGCTAAAAGAGAAGTATAATTTGTGCATCGCAGGATATACTAGTAACAGTTTACAACCAGAGATCCCAACTGATAGACATTATTCAGACTGATATGCTCACGGACCAAGTTACCTGGATAGGTAATCCACTAGAATAGACTCATCAACTGGAAGGTAGGTCAGATTCCATGCTTAATACCAAGGCAGTTTGACGTCAGTCACATGAAGTGTGCATTAGTGTGTCTAAATGAGATGCACGAGCTTCTGGATACTCGAGAACTGATATGCATTGACAGCATATCTGATGCCTGGCATCTCAAATATTCTCCTTTGCTTTTCTTCACGACATTGCATGTGTAACATACACAACTCAGTGGGCTAGGTCATAAATATTTTGTGCACAAGGACTGGCTGATGCATTTCTGTGCTGCTTGCTTTTACCCTTGCAGATCTGTGTTGGTCAGGAGATGTCTGTGGTACAGTTGGAGGTGTGACTTGATACTATAGATATATCATCTCTATGAGCACATAATGTGCATAGCTGCATATCACTGATGGTTGGGATTGGTAGGTCAATAGATAAGCACTTGGTTGATCCTTGGTTGGTACGGAGTAGTGCCCAGGTGGTTTGCGCCATGTAATATAATCGTGAATTCTGTAGATATATGTACTCCGTGACTAGTTATCCCAATAATAAGCATGCAAAAAAATATTTTAGAACGTGGCCAGCAATGCCATCGCTCACAACAAACGAATAAGCCGCATCGGACCTTTTAATGGTAGGCACAGAAGAGCCCACACTCCCCATGAACCCACAAGCACATCCACGGGTCGCAAGCCCACATACTTACGTATAGCATTGAAAAGACGGTCTGTATATATTGTATTGTAGCTACTATTATAGAAAAGAGTACGGAGTACAAGCGGCTATCTCGTCTACAGAGTATAACGCTAGTCCACAATAAATCAGGATCCCGGCCGAAGATCCCCTAAAAAGTAAGAATGCAAATGTCAAAAATGTCGTCACACCCAGGCTAAGCGACACTATTGATTATAGTACAAAATAGGTGTCAAACGGTGGGTCTGTCGATCATCCATCTGGAATTAATCTGACAAGATTCAATAGTTCGTGGGAGGGGTTGGACGGGATCAAACCGAGATTATGGTAGCAGGCTAATAGCGTTAAACGTCTAAAAATGAATTTAAATAAATAATGTAACATGACTCAGGCAGGTCAAGCGTCTGGGTTTCGTTTTTCGATTTCAATTTTAACAACGCGAGGACTGAAATCGAATGTGACCGAGTCAGACGGTATCACATACATATACTCCGTATATCATACTGCCCCGCGTACTCCGTGCTCCGATCCAATTATTCAAAAATATGTCGTTACAGAGTACAACATAAGTACTCCAACATCATCCTAATAGTCATCTGGAGTATACGGTGAGACTCGAGCTCGCACGAACCTACGCATCAATTTACACGAGATCATCGCAACCCAAATCCTGACATGAGACAGCTCACAAATCCCGCACTTGACACCTCTGCTTGAGAAATGAAAACCCAAATCCCGCGCCTCCGACCTCACCAAGCAGGGACGTTGTTGTGATCGACACGCACGTCCCTCGATCGAGGGCTAAACGCCCATGACAGCGCAGAAGGGAATACGCACACATACGCAGTACTCAGCGTATATGTACGACGTATGGAGTGACGGAGCACATGCAAACAGTACTTGCCTAACATAACTCCAAATGTGCATACGCACTTCCAAACAACGAAGTGTCAGACGCTGATTTCACCGCTATATGATGGGTCGGATGCATGTATATGGATCTCGAATGGCTAAGTGGGGATTTCATCGTATTGGCGAGGAAACCAAGGGCGGGAACGGGATCGGAAAGCGTAAGGCGCAGAACCGCGGTTTGGTTGGGCTTTTGGCTTGGGTTAGTTGACAAGTGACAGAGACAGGGTTGGTACAACGGTAAGGGGGGGAGGGGGGAAGTTTCCATGAACTGTGATTCGGTCGAGCTCGACTAAATGCTCGACGTTGGTATGCGCGCTGCACGACTTTTGTTGGGTTTTAGATCGGCCAGTCGTGGTCGCCGGAGATGCTGCATACCGGGGTTTGTGTCGGTGGCTTGCATATCCGCTGCCCCCCTATGTGGGACTTAGTTATGGGGTTCACCCCTGTTCGTATAGTCCTGTATGTTGTATTTCGAGGGTATGATTATTCTTGCCTTTTTGTGGTTGCTTTTTATGATGTTGAGGTACATCGTGCATTCTAGATGTATGTACATAGTGTTGTTATTTACTTCTTTGCAGCAGAATATAATTTACGAGCACGGAGTAAATAAATGTAACTGCACCCCTAATCCTGTTGTTTTTTTGTTTCGTTTTCGTTTTCGTTTTTTGTTTTATTTTTGGTTTATCGGATGCGCGTTTGATATCACTTTTACAATATGAGTTTAACCAAGTGGGTTGCAGTCCCCTAACCTGGGGTCTCAAATTTGGATATATGCACACCCCTAAGCGGTGATAGAACCTACATCGTATATCGCACCCACCCCTGCGAATGGTTCAATTCTACTCCAAGATCTGCAGTCAAGTAAGTTTTTCGGGGTCATGTCAGGACCCCATCTTCCGGGGGTAGGTCGGGAAAACCAGAAAAAGCAAAAAAGAAAAAGAAAACTCGTACGAACCGCACCTCTCCAACAGACCTCTCTCTTCCAGTAGGTACAATATGTTAACAATATGAGGTGATTAGAACAAAACTCCATCTGTCTCAGTTCTCAACCGCACTTAAGTTCGCATATGTCTCGGAATTGGAACGAGATCTGAGAGGGCTGAGAAGAAAACAAAGGAATTCCCAAAAGAGCGAGGTAATAGTTCACTCGACATGTTTAAGCGTATTACCGACCATTGTAAATGTTTAATTAGTATGTCTAACTCCACATCGAAATCAAGCCTGGTCAAATTCATCGATATAATGCTTCGGAGCTGTCAAAAGGCAAAAAAGAAACTCCCCGAATATACCCCGTTTAGACAGCGATCAGATCTATTCCGGGCTCGCGTGGCTAGCAAAAAGTCAAACTTACTCAGTTCCATGGTCTGGAGTGGTTCCTGTGGAATTTTTGGAATTGTGGAATTGTGGATTTGTAAGTTTGTAGATTTGTGGACTCCGGAGAGACCGAAAAGCTGAAGTTTAAGTTACTAAAGCTGAAGTTTAAGTTACTCCATGCAGCTGTCAGTTCATGTCATTTGGAATTAATTTAAACCTTGAAAGTTAGTCCATAATTTCCATGCCTTTATTATAAACGTAAGATTCAATGCAATGCAATGCTTATAAGATCAGATCAGATCAGATCAGATCATACCAAACCAGTCCAAACTCTAACTGCCAAAAGGTTAAAAGGGACAAAGACCAAGGTAAGAATGAAGTTGATGTTTGGTAACCCGACGTCATGAAATAAAAAGTCAAAAATGGGGTCGATCTTGACACATGCCCCGGTGGAGTACTCTTATAGAATATCCACTAGTTTACCAATTTTGAAGTTTTGCTGACAGTCCGAACCATGGTTCAGTTTCCTTCCTCCGGCCCGAAAACCACTGTTTAACTTGGGAAAAAAAAAGTAGCTTGAATCTATATTGTATGGGCATGCATACAGCGTATCCAAGCCAGTCTCCAAGATCCCTTAACCGTCAAGATCCATCGTCCGCACCGAAAAAAAAGTGGCGCTGCGTGCCTCGGGTAAGGTAAGGTCCACGTTTCCGCGAAGCAGAGAACATGGATAAGCTAGTGTTGAGGATGGAGACTTAGTGGAGACGGGTTGCGTGGTGGGCAGCTGAGATCTAGTTGCGTACTCCATATCGCTGTATTGCTTGACATTTCGGATCCGCATTTTTGTGGAAGTCAAATATGTATCAGAATCAGAGAATAAAATGGAAAACGTTTCATGATTTGGAAGTTGAATATTCCTTTAAACACCTAGTAATGCAATTTTCGCGGTTTTTGCCCAGGGGCACAAGATGTAATGGAAATGTGCAACATAGAGAGAAACGAAAAACACAAAGTAGAGTTAATCAATGATTCAATGGGATTCCCAATGCCATAGTTTGCCGTATACCCCTTTTGCCTGTTGTTTTTCCAACAAAATAAGTTCCCGCTTGGTAAACGCGACCAAAGAGAAAGGGTATCAAAATATAATGTCTGACCAAAGTCTCCGCGTACCGGACGGCAATGCGACATGTAGGGTGAAGTCCAGAGACCTGGAAGGTGAAAAAGGGAGAAAAGAACAAGGGGAAAAAAACATTAAGAAAACACATAGAAAAAGAAAGATGCCAATCTATCAAGCTCGCCGTATCCTCAACTCCATGAGTCGTAAATGGTAGAGAGAAACAATATCAAAAGTCTCCCAGTCGTAAAGTGAATAGAACGCTGACGTTGCGAATGCCGTGTAACGTTGAATGAACAGAAATAAGAAAATAAAAAGGCCGTGATCAAACCCGAACCTCCAGGTCCAGGTTCATCGCCACTCTAGTGATGAGGAGAGGGCATGTGCTCCGATCCATCGACATCACTAAAAGGCGACTGTCGTTGAGACTCCGTATCAGTACCACTGCGCATTTGGTTCCGCAACGCAGGGAGTTGTCGCCTCCGAGCATTGATAAACCAGTTGCTGATCTGTATAAAAAAAGAAACCATTAGCAAACCAGCCACAGCAAATTTCCAGTCCTCGGTTGTAAATCTCACCTGACTAATTGAAAGCCCTGTCCTCGTCATAAACATCTGCTTATCCTCCTCACTGGGATAAGGATGATCAAGATGCTCATGGAACCAAGCCCGTAGAATATCCGTAACAGGCTTAGGCAAGTTACCCCGTCTCCGCTTCGTCTTAGGATCAATCGGATCTCCCATGATTCCGAAATTCCCCTGCCCGTGCCCCATCATCTGCGGCGACATCTGTTCATCCGCGTAGCCGATAGCAGGGTGCCCGTATGGCGATTGCGGATGCATAATGGGCTGAGCAAAGTGCTCGCCACGGGGATCAGCGGACATCGCTGCTGGTGTCGGCGCGGGCTGGCGGTATTCCTGCGCGACGAAGGGGTCGGAACGTGGGGGCCGCTCGGAATACCCATTACTGGAGGACGGATTCATTGCTCGGCCGGGTATGGAGTCCAGGTCGCGGATTGACGGCAGAATTGGGCTGGGACCGCGAGATGCGTGTTCAGAGAGATGCATGTGGTGGTGACCTGGATCTGGCAGGCGGGGTTGGTGGTCTGCGCCGCGGGAGACTGTATATTCGCGGTGGGGTTCGTAGGGCATATGGGTGGATTGGTTGCCGTATGGGATTGAGCGGGGGTCAGCCATCTCGTGACCTGAGGGTGGACGGTCTTGTGAGTGACGAGGGGTGGTGTAGAATGGGGAAGTTGATTCGATTTCATCGTGGAGGTGAGCGGGGAGGAGCTGTGGGATGTTAGATATGGATTCCAGATTGTATTGCTTGAAGGAGTTTAGGGTTACATCTTACCTCGCGGAATGAGGGGAGGGTTTGGTGAGGGTGTCCGGTTGACGACTGGGTTGTATACGAAATAGCCATATTGGTATCTTCGTCTACCTCATGGGACTGGGACATAGACAAGGTATTTGGGGAGGGAAAAGGATAGAAATGTCTGTAGGAAAAGAGTTTCACAAAGTATTACAAAATAGAACTATACTCGACACAGTCAGAATCGAATATCAGACGAGTTTGTAGTTCAAAAGATCGAGGCTCTCCAGAAAAAGATATAAAAGGGAAGGGATGAGGGGCGAAAGTATCCAAAGTAGCACTCACCAGGGAAACCAGGCTGATTTTACGTTGACATGGTAAAATAAAAAAAGAGAAAGGCCAAGATTATATGCAAGGTTGGGGAATGAGGGCAAAGATGGAAATGTGCTTTCCCAAATAATGCAGGGCCTCGTACATTATTTCAACCAAAAAAAAAAAAGTGGCTCCAAAATCTACATTAAAGTAAAGTAAATTAAAATAATAATAAAAAAAAGAAAAGAAAAAAAAAAGATCCAGCTGGTACATGTCCATGGAAAAGCAAGAACAGGGGGGGCCGAAAAATGACGATCGTGGGCTTGGTGGGTACATGAGTCGGAGCACCAGTGCTCCGTGTCAAGGGCCTGCAGAGCGGAGAAGGCGTAAATTCAAAAGTTCCTTAAGGTTGACAGATAGAGTCTTTCTTTGGTCTCTTTGGTCAATGGAATAGTCTTAGCGTCAGTATCTACTTCACGAACTACTCCCCGGTTCCATATATTAGAGATATTTTAGAAGTTCCAGGGTTTTGATTGGATGTTTCGGAGAAAAGGATTTTTCTTAAAAAGATAAATTGAAAATAGAATAATTCAAAAAAAGAAAAAAAAAGGAAGAAAGAAAGAAAGTAGTGGTTCACTAGTGTACGTCAAGTTCGGGAATCCCATGCCAGTGCTTATAAGCGGGCTCATAAGCGGGCTCATAAGCGGCCAGTATTACCATTTACCTTAAAAAAGAGATCTTCCAAGGTCCTTTAAAACCCAAATTAAAACATGAAACAACAGTACAGAACAGTATAGTTAAAAGTAAAAAAAGGTATAAAGGAACAATTGAAATAAATATATATTATAGGAAAGGTTGGGGAAGAGGGGATATCTAGCAGACGGCCACAGGAGTAAGGAGGAGGGGATTCTGTCATAATGTGCCTGAGTCAGGCTAAAGTTAATTATGGACTTGTATTATTCTGTAATTAAATATATATTAAATCAAATTACATCCATATTGCTTTTTCTGTGGGGGATCTGGGAGATTCACTCCGTACGGAGTACGGAGTAGTTCGTGGCAAAATAAAAACAAAAGGGAGGAATCATCCACTCCTATGGAAGAGGAAAAGACAACCCGAGTATGTAAACCAAGCCTCTCTCGTATGGTAAAAAAAAGAAAAGCAAAAAAGAGTCAAAGTGGATCTATTCGACAGACACCGAATCGAAGGAAAAGATCGCCGCTCCAAGGAGACTTCTCATTGGTTCCGAAAAGATCGTGTTCCGAGGAGAGCTTAACCTGGACGGTGGGTACAAAAGACAGAAAGGTTCTGGGTTTCGTTTGAACGAATCAGAAACCGCATAGATGGCGCCTCAGATCGATCGTAGATTGCCTAGAGCCTCTCATCGGGTGATTGATCGACCAAACAGAAAGGGAGAGGGGCTGGTATTGGTTTACAGGGATAGATCGCCTAGGGGTTCTTCAATTCGTATCTCCACTTCCTTCGAGAGCTTGTGGCGCCCAGGGCTTTTTTTGGGGGGTTTGTTTTTGGCGTCGGGATTTCTTTTCTGTCTCCGTATGTCAGATCAAAGATCACCCGGAGAACCCGCTTTGGTTTTTTTTTTTTTTCCCTTTTTTTTCCCTTCTTCTTTTGCCTTCCTGTTTTTACGTTATGCACTCGTGAGCTGGTACGTTGGTGGCTGTTGATATGATTGGAGTGAAGGTACGGTCGCATATGATATCTCAGGTGTATTGCATTTTTGGTACTTAGCTTAGGATGTCACCGATCGAAAAAATGAGTGATTTGCGCTAGTTGGGATCTTTGCCTCGATGTAATCTGGACCACTATATTCTGGAGCAGTTTCTCAGCTTGACACGACACACACACTAGCAGACCCGCTCTAGAAACTAGTTATATTCTGACAATTCAATAATGGCGCAAGTCTGTCATGTCATGTTTGGAGATCCCTGGACTAAGCGCAAGCTGAGTGTGATCCGGCCCAGTGCCAGTCAGCCAATCAAGTCATAACATGGAGTTCCCTTTTCTAGATTTTTTGCTGATTGGATAGGTTCTAGGTGAATCTTGTCGCACAATGTACTATGAAAAAGGTGGCAGGATACTATATTGGAATTGTTGTCAATCCCCTGTACAGCCCTATATTATGACCCCTATAATAATTCCATCTTTTTATCTGACACCCGAGTCTATTCACTTCAAAGTTTAATAACTGAACTTAACATCGCAGTCAACTCGGGCCCTAAGGTATGTCCTCCTTTAGGTCCATATTGTTGATCCACCCATCAAAGGGAAGACCATTTGTAAATTAAAATAAAACCAATTATTTCCGATCGGAAATGGAGCTGGCCTCGAAGCTTTGGATCTACCGAAACTTTTTTTTATCCACCGTTCCAGAGATCTGACTTGAAAACCCGGAACTTCAAAGTTTTATTTCGTGAAAATCTCAAATTGAGGTCATCACAAAGAAAAAAGAGAAAAAAGGGAAAGGAACTGGGATTCCAACCGATCGTCATACCTGCCATGCCCTTAGGCCCCATTCACGAGATCAGAGATCGTGCATGAAGGAATGCAGATCATCGGATCTCGCAGGCAACCAGGATCTTCCCTGAAAAATGACTGGTCCAAATTGCAGGTGATTGGTCCTCTCAAGGCTCTGAGTGCCATTAGAGGGGAAATGGCGAGGGGTAAACATAACATCTTGCCTTTCTTCTTGCATACACTTTGGGCCTATATGCCCTAGCGTCGGAGGTATTACTCCAGATCGGTGGAAATATATACTGATCCATGGATCTATGGATGCATCATTTGTCATTTCCGTTTCCCGGTTCTTGGGTCTACCGGGGGTTTATTTGGTATTTTATTTTATTTTATTTTATATTTTTTTAAGTTTTGTATTTGTATTTTATTTTGTATTTTGATTTTTGATTTTTGATTTTGTATTATTGAATTTGATTATGTATTTTATATTTTATAATTTAGTTATTATTAAAAATTTACTCCAATTTTAGGTGTCTAGCTTTATTTTTATTATTCTGACATTTGAGCTTCTATTTTATCTACAAGGAGTGCATCGAAGAATTTTTGATATCAAATTGCCAAGAATCCCTTCTGGAATTAATAGTGATCTAAAGAGGCTCGATTCTTATTTTCTTCTTTCCCTGTAGGTATCAGAAAAAGACCTTCGATTGGGAATATAATAAACCATAATAATGAAGTCCGTGGCAGTCAGTATAGTACATAGGACAAGCACTCCATAGCATAGTAACACAAGAATGCAACCTTAGGCATCCAAAAAGGGCCTTCTGCATAGATCCAACCAAATTAAATGTCCAGACCGTTAATAGGTGCATGTCTTCCAGCATGTACCTAGTTAAAACCTGGACAGTTCGAATTGTTTGCTTATTTGGCTGCCCAAAACAACCTAGACCCGTGTCACCGGAGGAGTGTTTATGCATGATTTAAGTGTGCCAAGGATATAGTTCGTGATAAGGCCGCCAATCCCTCACCCTTATGCGAGGTGATATTACATGCTCTTTTTTGATTGGTCAGACCAATACTTTATTGGCTTTAGATGGGGCCTTGCTTTCTCAAATGACGTGGGTGGGTGTCAGAGTCTCTTTCTTGAACGGGTAAGGTAGTTAGACTGGGCCCGGAAATAGAACTCCTATCCACATGGAGTGATATGACTTGTTGGATGGTGAAAGGTGTAGCCACAGACGGGGGCTCGGGTGATGGATCAGTGGGTTATGCATTAGTACCTGACTCGGCACCAGAGACCATGTTGATAGTACTTTATTTCTTTGCCTGCTGTCTGCTCGGCTGGAGCTTTGCTACCTTTGTCAGCTAAATTTAGAGCCGATACCTAATGTCACCTTGCTCGATTAGGAAAGACCTCGATTCTATGCGAGATGCTAGAAGTACAACTTCCTGCTACTTCCTGCTACTTCCTGCTACTTCCTAATGTAATATCATCGGCGACATAGGCAAGCATATATCCCCGTCCTAGATGGCACTCGTACCATCTTTGAACCGGAAGGCATACTCGTAGCGAGCAAGAGATAGCCCACTTATCACATGTACGAAACAAGTTACACACACTCGAGGAGTCTTTCTAGCATCTGTCTTTGAACTTTCCGGTATCGCAATATCGTGACTCGAGAAAGGCGAACACCGTAACAATTTTGTTCCATTGAATATACCGCAGCCGGGTATCTCTGAGTATTGTTCCGGCTTCGAACAACATTCTTCCTGTGTCTGCAACTTATGTCTGTGAGGGTATTACTTCCACAACGGTAGCACGCCTCCCTCTCACTATCGGAGAGAAGTCTCCAGCATGCTGCGGGTGACACTAGCGTAAAATCGGCGAAATATTACCTAGTTTTAATTATTTACCCTTCTAGTTATTAGGCACAGGCATTAGGCTCTGCGACATGGCTGGTATATCTCGTAATATGTTTGACTAAGCCTATCAGTGATACCGTCAAGTTCTCTTCATTAAGAGCTTGCGCATATCCCGTAGTAAATATCGATATAAGCTTGCGCCAACTTCGAGACAAAGGCTGAAGGAAAAGAGTTAGGCCTGGAAGGCGGAAAGGCAGAGAGGGGAGAGATATGCTCTCAGAACTAACTAACTACATATCTATCCTGAGCTCATGGCCGGGGACTCCCGGCACCCATCTCAGCAATAAGGAAGAGCAATTGAGTTTCTATCCCGAGATCCTATTGTCAGCTGAGAAACAGCAAAGCTTATAAACAGCAGATAAACAACCAGATCTGACCTCTGACCCGGAGCAAGCACCACACGACCTCAGCAGCATAAAGAAGGACATTCGGTTCC